TGGCTCTTTCCAACCGATGAGGGGGTGCTTCTGCTCAGGGCAGATAACCATCCTTGTACATATTCATTTACACTCTGGGTTAAAGATGGTATGGTTGTCAAGTGATTGCTCATTAAACCACTCGTGTGACGTCAATCTATTCAGAAACGTGTCGATTATTCTTAAAAATGTCGGAAAATTTACAGTAAACTGTAGATTCGAAATTGTTCAATAGAGAATTTACACGTAGAGTTAGCTGTACACTGTTTTAAAAAAATCAAAATTTACGTGAACACAGAAATCGCAGTTGTGACACTGAGTTATCGAAACGTCAAGCACAGTGACAAACGCTCTTAACCGCTGATGTTCACTCTGTATTTTTCGATTTGCCGCACTACTACCTTTTGTGTTATGTTTGGTGGCGATTACAGCTTTTTATTTCAAGTAAAACATTCCTTTAATGTCGATTAGAATTTTTAATTGTCCATTTTTATACACACCCCTTTGTTTTACCTCTTCCTCTGTTATTAAAGTAAACCATGAAAAAAAAACTATTTTGGTGACAATTCATGCATAATTTTACAGAACAGATTAATCGTTTTGCAACTTACCTATCAATACTCCACAGATGATATTCCAAAAAAAACCGTATTTTCCTAGCGAAGCTCTTTCCTTCGGTGATTAAGCATCTAATTCCAAGGTTGTCCGGTGCTCTTCTTGTGAAGAGAAAGTGAACAGTGGTTCACAAATTAACCACTCGCTAAACTTGCTTCTGGGTGGTGGAAAGAGTCCTCAACTCCGTACAGTCATATCCATAGCATTAGTTAACCTGAATCCAACATGTCTTCGCAGCTAACTGATAAATCTATGTGGACTAATCAGTCAAAGAAGACGGTTTGTGTGCCCAACGATCCACCACTGCAGCCGACCGCATGTCTCTGTGTGTGACTTGACGTACATCAACCTTGCATATGTTGTAAGACAAAAAACTATAGTTGTGCACCCAGCCGAAGAGTTGCACAATTAACAGCTTGGGCCAGGTGTAAATCTTTTATTTACATGCAGATGTTACAGCTAACCAACGCTGGACAATGGATGGAATTCATCTCGCGGCTCAAAGCCTCAGTAAACCCTTTTTGTTCCCTTGTACAATGGACAATAGTGGTGGGAGGGGCGTGGTTAAAGTCGGAGTTTGTGTCCTCCCCGTTCGATCAAAGAATTGTCACTTTTTCGTCGTTTGTCCTTCACAGAGTGGAGAACACGTTCTAGCTTTGAGTTATTGAGTTACAGATAAATCAATCATGGGATGATGTTACACCCACTGCTGGGTTACCACTGTACGAGCTAAAATTACTGCTTCCAATAAACACCATAGACAAATATTTTGTGTAATAACTGGCACAATGTAAATTAGTTAGGTGTCATCATTATGGGCATTGCCAGGTTTTTCCCAAGGGGCAAGATTTTTTTTTGGAGGGGGCACGAATCAGCAACAAATTGACAAGCAGTTTACCTAGGAAGGGCGTAAATTTCGAAGAGAATTGGTGATTCTTCTCTGCTCTCCTCCATTTCTGGTTACTCCATTTCCTTTTTCCCCCCCTTTTAATTTATTTTTTTTCGGACGGAGTTGAACCCACTCGTTCCCTCCACCCCGCGAAGACATGCCTACATTCGTCTTGATATGAGTTTGGAACAAGCTCACACACATGTCTCGCATACAGGAGTCCTAACCAGCGCTGGGCTTATGGTCAGTGTATTTCGTGAAATGTAACTATTACCTCATATTGTTGTTCAGTGTGCACCTGCTTTCTCCAAAATGTGCAAAGCGTCGGGAACTGCGACAATGGAGGTCAAAACTTTGGACACAAAATGGCTTTCACCTACGACAAAGCCGGCGCAGTTTTGGAGAATATATTTAAAGGACAGCAACACAGAGCTTTTAAACACAAAAGAACTCTGTAATCCCCCAAGAGGGAGACTGGCCCTCGATTTTCAGTTTTCAGCCTTAAAAATGTTGGCGCTATTATTGACGTCAAAAACTACTACCACATGCCTCAACAGAGGGCGCACCTCAGGCCCAAACGGGAGAAGCGTCAGACAATACGCATGCACATGTTTAACGGCGAGCTGGGATCGCCGGGGGCCGGGAGGAGGGGGAAGGGATAGGATAAAAATGCGCCACCAACGTGTGGACGTATCTTATCTTGTTTGTGGACCGAGGCATGCCCTCGCAATATACCCGTAATATACAAACGACCATCCTCATGCAATGCGACAGGAATGTACTTTCCTTTGGGAAAAAATTGTTTTATTACCAATCTTGATGGGAGACTATTAAAGTATATGTATAGTCTTCGCGCTTTACAGATGCCTCCCTTGTTGGAATGTTGGACTTCACTTACCTTTGGAAAAAACTCCCTCGTAAGAGCCACGATCCTTTATTTAAGTCTGTCTACCCATAGTGTGGTGTTAAAATCATTCCACAGTATGACAGAACATCTTCGTACGTGAACGGCAGGCCGGTCCACGACGCTCTTCCCGGTGAAGTACAAAGTTAGGGGGTGCTGCTTAGCCAGGCACCAGACTACGATATCACTTTATAATAATGTTGAGCTAAACCATCTCGTCTTTCTTCGTGCTCGTGAAATGGCCCAAAAATGGTCGTGAGAACTGATAGATTTTCTTTAAATGACGACAGACAAAAGATGAGGCCTTTGATAATACATTTCAGGAGGATAAATGAAGTGTTAAAGGAAGGTTTCTTCATAAAATGTGATCGCGTTCAGTATACTTTTCTGTGCAAAATTCACTGCACAACGACCAAGCAAAAGTGGGAGTTCTCTTTTGGAATCATTTCCATTGAAAGGAAACAGTTCTTTTGATACTATTTTGCACACCCCTTTTTAAAGAGTGGAACAGGCACAAAGGCCTGCCGCAAGCGCATGATTCACCCAACCTTTCCTCCTCTGTGCATGTACTTTGTTACCGTGTGTGTTCATGCACGCGTGTACGCCCAAGTCAGGGGAGTTCGCGTTGAACTATGGCGGCCCGTCTTCAAGTCTTCACGGCGATATGTCTGCTGACGGTGGCAATGTCGTGGCTGGTGAGTAATCGTCCAATCGTCACGAATTCCGTTTTTTAGAATATATAGGAGGGTACATTTGTGCATCAGTCGGCCAAGTATTTTATCTAATAAGCCTATACGTGCAAGCTGCTCGGCTTAAGATTTGGCCGATGGTTTTTCAGCACTAAGTTGGAAACAGCTTTATTTAAGAGGACAAAGTCTGACATAAGAATTGCAACTTCCTCCCCCGACGTGTGGACAGTTTGCACTGTAAGCTGTGTAATAGTTATAACCTTGTTCCGGCCAGGCCTTCCGCAGCTTGTCCAGTCTCGAATCAAACAGGTGTTATGCTTGGAATTGGGGCGGCTAAAAGACTGAACGATAAAACAATTTCGGATAAATATTTTAAATAATGATAACTTTCTTGTCGAAAATATAGTAACTAGACCTAACACCCACCATGGCAATTCTGTCATAATGTCATTTGTTCTGTCTTCAGTTTTAAGGAGTTCTAAATCTAAATTGAAAAGAAAAACATATTTTGCTTTACAAAATGATTGATGTGCTTTAATAAAAAGAGAAAACTAATTTCCACAGAAAGCTTTAAATAGCACGACCTTTTGGCTGGTAACCTGATTTGGCTGAGCAAACTATTTTCTATGCTTTGATAAACGTCTGCTGCATACTGAGCAGTTCTTTGCAACTGGTCCCCGGCAACGAATCATGGTATGGCTATTCGAAAAGAACCCGTCTGTTTCATGTTCAAGGACAATTAAAATTCTGTCGTTCTGTGTATAAAAATACTACCGCATCAATCCACTACGTCTACGTCAGTGTTCGGGTGTTTCTGTTATTACGGCATAATGCCGAAAATGTTTAATACATATCATGCAGGTTTTTATTCACAGACATTTTTCAACTAGATGGCTCTGAACTCTGGAGATCTGTCTAAAAGTTGACCTCGTCGGAAGTAAAAAAACTTTACAATGAGTGATGTATAGTAAAAGAGTTCACTGTGTGGAAGGGGGCACTCACTATGGAGCGCAAAGAGAATCGCTACTGTTTAGATATATGTACAACAATTTAACCATGCACATGGACATTTCTAAACTCGATGTACATTGCAGCTGTTTAATCGGCTTCCCAAAAATATCAGAGCATTGGAACCTGTGTGATAGGTTCAAGAGGGCTGTAGTAAACATTACGGGTACATTTAAAGTGGCGGCGGTCCATTTAGCTAAGCCCAAAACAAAATATCGGCCAGCTCATGTCTGGGGAAACACTTCTTGAAAAATTGTACACGATGGAGGAAGCCAGACAATCTGATGTATATCCAAACAGGGGAAGTGATTAATCGAATGGGGGTATAGGACGTCTGAATGAAGATCGGCCATGGTTGCCATGGGAGCCATCTGTAATGGTGTCATAGAGAACTGTGTTCTACCATTGTGATCAATCGGTTGATGATTTGTTTTTTCTTTTCACTGTACAGTTCTTTTATCGCGATACGGTCTTTGATCGTTTGTTGAAGATCCCTGCACTTCCACGACCGGCTCCTATACCAGTGTCTTCCTTTTCACTGCGGACCACTGTGACTCTGATTTCGCCAAAGAGAGACGAAATAAAAACCGGCGACATGTTGCACTACCTCATTACCTCTGGGTGCGGAGCCACCGGCGCCAGGTCCCACTGCCAGTCCGGTGGGGACTTCTGGTCGGCAACCCTCGCCACAGCCGCGTTCCCGCGCGCCAGCACGGCCGGCCACTTCGTGGACTACGGTAACGGGACCTATAGCGCGTTCTTCTACGCGGGCTGGGCCGGCAAAGCCACGGTGTCTGTGACGCGCGTTCTCCGCGGCCAGGCTGTGGAGTTCTTGAAGGACGCGATCTGGCCGGCTGACGACAGGGTCGTCTGGCAGGGCTACTTCAGGACTGGGGACGACCAGGAGCTGTCCCGCATGCCAAGGGGACTCTGTCGTCTCCGGCGGCACGGCAACTGGAGCGGGATGTGCCTGTACCCCCACCGGAGGGCGCTAGGCCAGACGGTGTTCATCTGTGAGAGGCCCGCTGGTGTGGCCTCGTGTGACAGCCTGTTCGCCACTAAGAGTGATGGGAGCAGAATTACAGCCAGAATTGATGAATTAACAGAAGGGCGGGAAATGATGTATCTAAGGTGAATATTAAGATTAAAAGTTGAAAAAACGCTTGAGACATTCTCTCCACCAATGGGTCGATCAGCACGGCCTTGGATACGGTGAACTATACAAGGCTGCATTTGCGTGACACCCAGTTCTGGGTTTAATCCCTTTATCATTATGAGGAACATGTGCAACACGGGTAATTTTCAGTGAATTACGCTATCAAGCGTTGTCCTCAAAGAGGCCACTCTCAACTTCACAATTCGAACCTTACATGTTCAATTCTACGTTAATCATTATGTATTTGTTGCTTACACGTACGTTTACATGTTTAGTATCACACGCACAAATAATACGTTTTGGAGTCTTGTTTAGCCCACTATTCGCCGTTACTCACCCACGACATAATCCGCCTGACACAGCTTGTGTCCAAAAATGTAAACCTATTAAGGTTCTCACCATTTACCATTATTAATTGTCGACCGTACAGCTTTGCCAAATGAGTATCAAAGGACTATTACCTCTTGGTGGCGCACTGTTTGCGGATGGCTTCAGTTTGCCAGTAAGAAGTTAGGCACACCGACTTAAAGGATTTTTGTATGTATTCATAATACAGTTTTAATATTTAAAATCAAATTTTATACCCTCAACAGAGTAGCCACAAAACAAAATACTTGATTTTAATTATTGTAAAATAATTGCAATTCATCGGAGGCAGCTCGACATTCTAAACTGCTCATGCACAGGCGTCGATTGTATACGAAGGAAGTTTGTTTTCCCTTTCTGAACATTTTGTTTCTAATGTCAAAAAATTAAAATTTCGTTGGTAACGCAGGGCTCATTATTTTCAACCCGCAGTTCGCAGAATTACCGAAAACCCATCGAAATTGCTGACCCGATCATCACTATTGAAGGTGAGGGACCAGTATCGTCGACTCCATTGGTTTGGTTCTGTTCTTGAATGAATCTTTTTATGACGAAATTTGTTGGTTAGTTTGGCCCTTGTATCGTTTTTAGCATTTGATATTTTTTGTTTGGCAGCTGGTTCTTTGGAGCAGAGTCAAGGCAACAAGTCAACTTTGCCGCAATGTCTCCCTGATCAAGAGCTTCCCCTCAGCCACGGCTACTGGCTTAATGGCCGCTGGCACTCCCTCCTGTGTCTAATCACGGACTGGACCACGCGGCCCAAGCTGACGTCATGCCTCCGCAACAAGAACTTGATCCTGTTGGGCGACTCCACCACTCGGCAGTGGTTCCTCGGCATTCACAACCTCCTGGGGATCGAGTTCGAACGCACCCCTGCGGACCGGCAGTTCAACTGGCGTCGGTCCTACCGGGAGCTGAACACCACGCTTGCCTACACGGCCCACCCGCAGCTGGTGGGCAGCCTGGCAGTGTACCTGGACGAGGTCCGCTACGAGGTGGACGTCTTGGACGGGCTAACCGACCCGCACTGCAACTACATCGTCCTGGTCAGCCCCTGGGCCCACTTCAGCCAGTGGACGCGGGCCAGCTACGAAGAGCGCACGCAGCGGCTGCGCGCCGCACTGGCCGACTTCCGCCAGCGATGCCCAGCGGCTAAGGTGGTGCTAAAGGGGCCGCACGCCCGGGACCACCACTCCTACGAGGCCGCTGTCTACTCCAGCGACGTTCTCCTGAAGGAGATCGAGAAGATCAACCGGCGGACGCTTTACGGGATAGGGATCTGGTACCTGCCCGTCTGGGCCATGAACTCAGCTCACCCTGCCCCCAACACAGTCCACATGCCAATGGATGTTATCAGAGAAGAACTGAAAATGTTTTTCAGCTACGTATGCAGTTAATGAAGCAAAAACTCATGTTTTGTCTCTCTGATGTACAGTTTGCCACAGCGTCGCCTTGGTGACCGCTTCGCGGAACATTTACGCAGTGTGCGCCAACAAACACCCGGTCTCACTGTTGCGCAGCACTTTTGCGCGCCGCCACATCCCCTCGGTGACGTAAGCGTCTGCATCCTGCGGAAAGCGTCATCCGATGTACAGTGTAAGGAACTGGAGTAGCGCGTCATTTTCGAACTTGGAGCGCTGCATCCAGCGGGAATGAACGTGGATTTTTTCCGCGTTCATTCAGAAATGAATCTGCTTGCCCTGAAGAAGGTATTCAGTTACCGAAAGCTCGGCAATCACATATTTCACAGCACTAATTTAATATGATATTCTTGTCAATATTCTGATCACGGTGCTACGCAGCCCTTTTATATCCTCTAAATAATTGTTTAGATGGGTACACGTTGTGCATATTTGGCTAAGCACTGAGCACACACACACAAATTCCAATTCACTTCATGCTTAAATGTGCTACATTTGGTACATACAAACGAGGAAAAAACAACACCCAGTATTGATTATTACAGCTGCACAGGCAAACTGTACAGTGTATGTACCCAACACCTGTGTCAATATTGTTCCGTTGTGAACGTCAGAAAGTTAAATCTTATCACAAAATGATTACTATTACCAGTGAACGATGTAATAGGCTCATTTGTGAGAAAAATACCTGTGTACTCAAACAATGTGCCAGGCACGCTAACGCTGCTCTGTGGACAATTCCGCTGGCATCTTCAGTCATATAAAAGATGGCCATCGTTAATGAGACCTAAGCACGTTGTGGATTTGAAAATATATAATTGTATTTCAAGGCAAGTCAGTGTGGTGAATCTTAGTTGTCATTCACACTGGGATACTGAGTGTTAATAAGTCAGATTGGGAACTCTCTTAACCTGACATGCTATTTTATTATTTTGTCAAGCACGAGAAGTAGGCTCTACGGAAAGACATACTGCACGGGATTTATCGTTGCTGGCGGTGATCTTCAAGCAAAGGAACGGGTGACCAGTATTTGTGACCTTATACTTCTCGTTTCCAGATTCACCGTGCCAAATCGAGGTGACTGCCCTCATAAACAGCTTTATTATCAGAAGTTCTAACACTGCTGTCCGTAACCAATTTATCTTAGCTCCACTGTACTGATAATATTACGGGTATTATTGAGCTTTTGTTCAGATTTAAGCTTCTTTTGTATAAGTAACATTCGAGGAGATATCACTTTTCACTTGAATACTAATTTACTCACGCAGGAAGCTCTTGTGTTTGAAATTTTTAACTTCATCACTTGATGACGAAACTGTCTCAAGCCGTTCAGATTACAGAGAACAATTTTTTTTCAAACGTAAGGACCAGGAGGCAAAGGTCAGCATAACTGATAAAATATGGCATGCAACAGGTAAAATCTATAAAAGTAAACGCTAAAGAGCGAGTAACAATAGCTGGGTCAGAAGATGACACCCTATGTGAATAAAATGGGAGGTGGGTAGGGTTCAGTCAGCTTAAAAGTATACAGACAAAACAAAATCATCCATGGCTAAACATCTAACGCGACAGTCGTGCAATTCTGTAACATAATCAGTAAAACGTTCAGCCGAAAGTCTTAACGTCTTAACGATAATAAACCTTTAAGACTTGATAAAGTTACCCCTTAGTAAACTACCGGTGTCTGCTTATAGTGTCTGTTTCGTGGAAACAGCTTCACTGCAAAGGAAATTCAGAAACATCTTGCTTTCTTCCCGAACAACAGCTTCCACGGGATGGATATTGTATCCACTTCGATGAGACAGGGTCATGTCCCAAACGTCTAGAATGGTGACGTCGGGGGAATCTGCAAACACCGCCCTCATCGTCTGGTCGAGATCGTAGGCGTAAAGGTCGCTGGTGTCCGCTGAGATGGGGTTCCCGGTGTTGGCCGACTTGATGAAGACGGGACTGGTTCCCGCCCCTCGCCTCTGCAGCCGCCCAATGGCGTCCCTGACTCGCTCCAGCCGAGACTGGTAATACGTGAGGTTGGTGTGCGTGAAGTGGGCAAACATCGTGAGAGCCACCACCGTGTCCGCTCCGCCCGGTAAGCCGTCGATCTCGTTGACAGTAAACTTGATGTTTGCCACGTCGATCCAGGAGTTCCGTATGGGGTATTCGTGATGACGGAAAAACAGGGTAATGTTATGGGTGGCGTCCCAGCCACGCCTCAAGCCAACTTTGGAGACGGTTATGGATGTGATTCTCTCCTCCTTCATGGAGTCACCGAGGTGGGCAACCAAGTACTCGAACCACTGCCGTATGGTGGAGTCCCCGTAGAAGTACAGGCGCTTATTTCTCAGACATCTCAAGGTGTCAGTCAGCCGAAGTTCCCTGGCGTGGCAGACCTTCGACTTCCACAGATCTCTGAAGTAGTATCCAGCGGCGCGGTGAGGTCGCTTGGGTGGAAGGCCAAGATAACAGGGTGAAAGGTCCAGACAAGTGCTATCACTCACTGCAACAACAGGAAATGAATCTTTCAATCATGAAGTCATGCACATCTTCAACACAATGATGGTAATCATTTTCACCAGTGGCAATCAATGGTAGTAACAACAACAACAACAACGGTCGATGTTGTTGACTACAACAACCCCCCCCCGAAAAAAAAAACAAACAAAACTTTGCAATGTAGCGAAGAGGTGAAATGAGAAGTCCGTATACAGCTACGGCAGCCGTGCGGATAGTTTCCTGGCAAAGGAGTCCTTGGTTTCCAAACAATCTAGAAACATCTTTTGGGATGCCGCAAGAGGCACCAGGCCTGTTAATATCGGAGATAAAAACGGGTTTCTTTTTAGAAACGAGTGGCCAACACCCTCGCCTAACTGAAGAACTCAAAGTGTTTCAAAATACGTTTTCGGAATTACCCTGATAAAATCTTTGACCGACAACTATTTAGATTGTAATGTATGTATTTTTGTCAAAGAAAGTAAACGTTACCTCCAGAATTCACATGGACAGTCCTCACTCTGCCAAGGCTTTGCAACAGTGCTTGACTGGAAAACACAATATCAAAACAATATGAGCTTAGAAATGTGTTCAGAGCGTTAGTCAATTAGGTTTCAATTCGTAGGGGCGGGGACTGGGACCTCATTTCTGGGGAGGAGACTTACATTTTTCATAACAGGATCCTTTTGGGTTTTTAGGGGTAGTTGTTGTTAACTTGAAGTAATCGGAGATTAAGATAAGACCCTGTTAGGAGGTCGATGTGGTTGCTGCAAAACATACGAAAGTGGAACAATTATCGTCGAATGCTGCCGACAAGAGTTTTAAAGTGTCCAATCGAGCCTTGAGTTTCTCACCTATGAGCAACTCTTCTTTTGTTGGGTAGTAGTAATGAATAGACATACTCTCTGCCCTTTCTTTGCAAATTGGCCTTGTGCTGAGCATAATTGGCGCACGTAAGTGTCGCCGGCTTGAGGCAGAACCAAGTTGTCCCCGCTTTTCGATCAGAAAGGTCGCAAACTTCTGACTTCGAGGCGTACGAAAGCCCCACGGCCGCCCTGTCGACGAATATGTTTCGGTTAATGTGGCACGGTGTTATCTCGATCGTTCTGTTGTCCGTGAACTTGCCATCGTAGGTGAACCTGTCTGGCACCCGCTCCCTGACGCTCCGCAGGAAATGAGCGTGCTCGCGACTGAAGACAAACCGTACCTGCGGCTCGACTTCCCCAGCCCAGTGCAGTGAGAAGCGAGCGGTGTAGGTACCGTTACCGTGGTCGATCAGCTCGTCCGCTGGGGCGCTGGCGTTGAGCGATGCTGTCCGAAGGAACGGCCACATGTGGTCGCCTCCCCTGGTCTTTGTCTTGTTCTGAGCATCCCTCGCTTCGATGTACAGTTCCAGCTGATCGCATATATTGTAGTTCGCCTTTGGGTTTCGGATGTAGAAGAAAGAGTTACTAACGAGGGTGGGACTAAGTTTTCTCCAAGTATCCGTTGCAATCGGCTGGGAGACTGTGGTACGTTTTTGGCTTGCAAAGCCTGATGTAGACATATTTCCATATTTCTTTACTTGGAGCGGTTTCGGTTGAAGCTAGTTTAATAGGCGGAGGGAAAGCATAGCGAAAAAGATTAATAATTATCATCTTTACTCAATTTGGGAGTTTCACAATAGTGCCTCCCAAGAGTTTGGAACGCGTTGGCCACTCACAATGCGCGAAATCTATCGACCCTATGCGCGTTTGGAAAGGGTCGACAGATTTCGCACGTTGTGATTGGCCAACACGTTGCAAACTCTTTGGGGCGCACTATTGTGAATCGCCCGTATTTCGATAAGCTTATCGGTAATACACCTGTATATGAGAAAATTGTGCTGAAGGGTCTGGTGCCAAAACGTGCCATTGGCAACATGTTCTGCTTTTTCATGTCTTTGAACATACTAAAAGGAGGAAAACGTGCCAGTCGACGTTATCTTGTCAGACCTACGAGAGGAAGCCTGCTACTGTCGACACTGTAAACCTGTAGCAACATAATGTAATAAAAATGAAAATATCTATGGAAACATCTACATATTCATACCTTTAAAATACCCTTGTCTGCGAGCATCGAGAGGTACAACACGCTGGTAATGGCGGATAGAACCCACAAAAGGACGAAGCCCTTACAAAGTCGTTTTCGGTACAGACAGCATGTCGGCGAAATACCGTCTCGTGCAGATGTCGGACTCTCAAGCCGGTAGAAACCGGCCCGGGATGGTTTCTCCATTTAAAAAAATATTCCTTGTGGATACCCACATACAGAAAGCGCCAGGAGCAAGTAGAACCTGTCGCTATTGTATACCAACTGTCCGCGCCCACTGGCGCTTGCACCTGCTGTTCATTTCCAGGCACTTCCAACTCTAGCTCTTCGCACGGGCATGACTCCTTCGATGTAGACTGCACGCCGCCCTCTTGCGACGTACGTGTTCAACCTCGCCGAACTTCACTTGGCTGTGGCTGCCCGTAGGTAACTGCGGAAGCCATCGCAGTTAACGGCTCCATGTATTTCTCATAGACGCATGTTTTATGTCCAGTCGTAGCCAGTACTTCTGGTGCAGTCTAACACCAGCGGCACTGGGCCAGTTAAAATCTAGTCATTTGTTTTAGGAATTGTTTTGGAAGAGAGCTTTAGGATTGCTCATACTACGGTGTTACAGTTGGCGTGCATTGGGCGGACATGTGCGGTGTGCAGACTCTTCTTATAGTTCAAACAAATTTTGGTCGATAATTATTCGAGGAAATAGTTCGCAGTACCCGCTGCTTCACCTGACTCGGACCGGCCAGCCGACCCAGGTAAGCCCAGTGATCCAGTGGTTAAGACGTCTGCACTAGTAAGCAGAAGGTCATGGGTTCGAGTCCCACTCGAGTAAGTTTGTGAATTTTTTTGGCAAGCTCTCGGACAAACACTGAGAATACCTTGTTTATCAATGTTCGGTTCCGGAAAAACAGAAACTATGAGGCAAAACATTTTGACTTGACTTGACTTGAAATGCCACATTTTCTACATGGGTAGTCGAATCCTTGCACCCGACCAGACTGAAAGATAGTCCAAAGTAACTTGGCTGTTTTAAAGTCATACGGCTTTACCTTTATGATCCTTCTTTAATCACTTCCTTATATAGTAACATCGATAATGCAAACAGCATGGTAGATATCAAATACTTCGATAGCCAATAAATGGCTGAAAGTGAATGCCCAGCATTTCGTTTCGTTAAAAGTTCTATGCTGCTTGAGCGGAGTCCCATTCTCACAAGCGGGCCCATTTCATGCAGGTGTAGCTGGCACACTGTCAAGTGAATACTAAGCATCGCTTCCAAACGCAGGCCCAGGGCATCCTTGGTAGTTTAACCCACAGGTGTAGAAAACAAAATACACACAACCAGAAGGCACGCCAATCACGCATCACTGATTTCTCCAGTTGGCATGTTTTAGCTGTTTTTTTTGCATATAAAACAATTTTATTAAATACAGATCTCTGAAGTACGATCTGTGTAAAAAAAAAATCACAAATACGAACTTGGAACAAAATATGTCTCATAAAAATGAACATTGATGGCACTAGTTGGCTTTCGTAGCAAGGGTGGACTTCTGTTAACCGTGTGTACCCCATTCGCCTCTGCACAGCAGCGGAGCAGCTCATGCCACGGATACCAGTCCACTTTTGCCCGTGTTTTGGGTTGGACTGTTCTGCGTTCATCGGCACCCAGGCCACCGGTCACTTGAAAGGGGATCGCCATGAGGCGCATTCGGATCAGGTTCCGCCTGTTTGTTCTCTTCGCCATGCCAGTACTGGGAGTCATTCTCATGTTAGGCTACAGCGCTCTGTCGCTAGCGGTGAGTGCAGTTCTTGTCCGACCTCACATTTCCTCTCATGATGAAAAACAGGAGAGCCGGAATTAGTGTCCCTCGGCCCATCAGAGGAAAGAAGGTGGCCTTCAAGTTCGACATCTGATTTGTCCATGTAGTTATGGTATCTGGAGAATTAAGACCATACCATAACGCACATAATTTTGAGGAACTGTTAAAAACTGGTTATTTTATTGCATGTAGTTTCCGATAAATAAAAAACGCAAACCCCTTTTCTGCATTGGCTCGTTGACGTGGACCTTATATCCACAAAATCATTCGAAGGTTTCAAAACAATTTCACTGACAGATTTTTGCAGACAACCAAGCTGGACACTAGAACGTACTCAACCACACATGCATACAAGCAATCGAGTTTGTGGACTTTTTTGATGACGCTAAGCGACAGAGACGTCCATTTTTCTTTTGGAACCACGGGGGGCATGAAAGGAAAAAAATGACCACCTGCGTGATATGATGTGCAAAGGTATGCCTTTCATCGTGTGCTGCCAAGCGTATGGAGACCTGTAAACCTTGATTCATTCTATGTGCACGGTGACTAAAGTTTCCCCACTCACTGGACCTCATTTCCAGCTAAGTCACAATTAACGTGGGCGCATGCTTGGCAGAAAAAAAGGTACGTCAGAAAACGTGCAGTTGCTTTGGGATTCAAACCCTCTGACCGCGTGCTCATATAGGTCCACCCCTTACATCTGCGCGAGCTGCTGGAGAGATTGTTCAGGCAGCCACAACCGTCGCTGCAGATAATGTGACAACCCCAGGCGCTGTTCCATCGTCATTTTCGACGGGACTGATGCCAACAACAACAACAACAACAACAACAACAACAACAACAACAACAACAACAACAACAACAACAACAACAACAACAACAACAACAACAACAACAACAACAACGAAATATGATTTCAAAGTGCACCATTTATTTTCAACTTAGGCCGGTGGAAGCAGCATGTATGAAGCAACATGTATTAAAAAAATGAAAAGGGGCGATAGCTCAGTGCTTCATTGTGGAATTAATCTTCAACCAGTATCAATATACGCGCTCTGTTACAACGCACCTGTCAAAGTGACAGTACCGCCAAGAACAACTTTCAATTTATATTTACCACACCACTAATATCATTATTATAATCATTATTTTACCACTCGGTAAATAGTGATGCAGAGTTTTTCGTATGATATTATAATTATTGGCTTTCTTAGCCCAAAGATCGGTCCATATTTTGCGTGAAAGCGAACGCGAACGTGAATTTGATGAAGTATTCGCGTCGTGAATTAGTACAAATTCAACACATTTTAACTAGAGCGAAAGTTCACTGCAAATTTTTCTTGACGTCAAAATGCACTTGGCTTTCTCCTTCGCCTGCAGTATGAGCCAGCCTTAACGTGTCTCTAAATTTTTTTCCTCATGTCTAAGCTTCAGCAATTTAGCTTTTAACTTAACTTATTTTTATACTGTTTACTAATTATGTATTTGTTTTATTAGTGTGTAAACTCATGTTAAAAGATAAATTGAGGTTAACTGTTCTGTGATACTGACAATCTTGGTCCGGTCGCTTTTCATATTTCCACAGTCTGTGGATTTCGGAATTTTATTGCCCGCTTACACAGTTGTTGACTCCAGTGTAGTGTCATTATTTAAAATCAACGGCAAAAAAGTGACATCCATGACGTCATTGTATTCCCGCCCAATCAGGATCGAGATCTACCGTGGAACGACCCGGCGGTCCACATGAAATACCGCGTTCACCACGCTGTCACCCCCGCGGCCTGGCCCAGCTTCAACCTCATCCCCAATGCCCGTAACACCAGGAACATCGCCCGCCGAGTACCGGGACCAGTAGCTAAGGGTCTGCCCGGCCGGTGGCTGCACCAACGCGGCAACATGGGCCTGACCAGCTTCAGGACCTCCACTCTCTCACTGGTTCCGGCCACAGTCAAAGAGGGACAGGTAGTATTTAATAGAATAGCTTCAGCGTGCACCTCTCCTGACCACAGTTAGCATCCTTCCAATGTCGACTTTACTTCCGCGGTTGTCTGCTTCCTCGCCAAATAGTGCCCATTTTTGGGACGTTCACGATTGCCTCGGGTTAGATTTTGCGATCGCTGCTTCTCCCGCTTTTAGAAAATCAGGGTTTATTGAGCCGGAAAATCCCATGTCTCAGCGACAACATTTAGGAGATTAAAACCCTATGCGACAGGCTGAAACACTGCCAAAGATTATACAGAGAATTCCAACTTGGTACAACATATTCTTTTAGGTCTCTGTTGCTGGATTTCGAGTATTTTTCCACCAGGTAAAGACCCCCCTGGTTTTCCTTCAATCAAACCTATCATTTCCTTGTGTAAAGGATGTCGTTTGAATTTGTCAAAAAATTCAATATCATGTATACGAAGTGGGATCGTGTATTATAACAGGCCGACTCTGCCATCTGGTGGCTTTGGAACGCACCAGTCGCAATAAAGCCAAATACAACATCTGGCAGACTGGAGACTGCAGGTGGCTGGCCACTTTGTGTACGTTGTAATCGTGGCCCAGCCCAAGGTATAAATAACCACAGCCAAGTTCGATCCGAGACTACTCGTCAACCGTGGCCGACTTTCTGCCTGCACTACCAGCGGTGGACACTCACCCATTAAAAAAAGCGGCTTTTATCATATCACCAGACCGCAGTGTTTTGATTGAGTATCCCAGTGATAACTTTTCCATCGGTGGTCGGTAAAACTATGGCCGGCCATCAGTACTAACTCAAAAGAATAGTTCAGTATTCAAAATAATAATTTAAAACCACTGAGTGAAAACATCACCTCTCTAAAACTAATGGACAAATTTAAATGTTAAGGTAAACTAAGATTTGACTTTAATGAAGGACAGCATACCGCCCGTCCAAAAGTATAGTAGACGGTATGATAGCGGTCTTTACACGGAGTAATAAAAAAGTTAAGTTGCTTATTTTAATTCCAGCTTACCACTTACAATTAAAAATTGTTTGCATGATCATAAAAATTACACGTGTTTAGATTTCACTCGAGGCTATTGATTCGTTCTTCGTGGGTGTATGTTTTTCTTTGGGGTCAATGCACAGATGTTTCGCGTGATGATAGAGGCACGCGACCAGAATAATCGACCGCGTAATATGGGCGGCGACTTCTGGTGCGCCACCCTCACTACCAAGGGTGGAGGCTACACGGCCGGTCGAGTGCTGGACCACTCCAACGGCTCGTACAGCGTCTACTTCTTCGCCGGCTGGTCGGGCACGGCCAACATCGACGTCACGCTAGTCCATCCCAGTGAGACCGTGGACTACCTTGTGCACACTGTGTGGCACGCCTACGACCGCATCGTCTGGCTCGGAAGGTTCGAGGAAGGGGACAAGAAGTCCACCACGACCTGCGTGCTCAGGCGGGGAGGGCCCTGGACGGGCAAGTGCGAGCTGTCGCACCCGTACGCCCTTGGCAAAACGGTGCTTCTCTGCGATCAACCCGCCCACGGGCTGAAGTGTGACTCCATCGTGGCAGTCTACAACAACAACACTCGCATCCGAGAGAGGGCGTCCGAGCTAACAGCGGGAAAGGAGCATTTATTTCAAGGGTAAGTGAATTCCTCCTGGACCCGCTTGAGTACATGCTGTTTTTTTCCGGAAATAAAATCGAAGGTACTACTTTTAACACCCTCCTTTAATAGAGGCTCTCGTATAGGTGAAATAACCTTAATTTAAGCAATCGTTTAAAAAACCATTTTGTTCCCTTTTCGAAGCCTGGATACTCTACTAATCTACTGCATTGCATATTTCCATGGCTTTGTGTTGAGTAATATGCGGTGTCTGTTTTGTGTTGCTTTTTAGTCGATAATTTGTTGAAACAGACTCTTCCAATGTCTCTGTTTTTGACAGCGATTACTACTCGAGGAAATTGAAGGATACTCCAAAAACTATCAACATTGCAAACAGTAAGTGAGCATTAGTGGAATTCTGGAGTTAATCTGTTGGAAAACAGAACATTCGGCAGGCATGTGAGGTCAAACTTAGGTGGATTTTTTTACCTTGTTTGATCATTCACTTTTGAATGTTGGTCTCCATTTCCCACATAACAGCAACCACTTCAAACAGGGATCACCTGATGAGGCAGATACCAGTGTGCGAGCCGGACCAGCCCAGGCCACTCAGCTCCGGCTACTGGCGAGACTCTGAAACGTGGGTGTCCCTCGCTTGCCGAAGCAGACAGTGGAA